AAAGTAAAAATATCAGAAAAATCTACTTGAGTACAGTAACGAAGTATTTGTACTTCATTACTTCCCATCTCTGTTGAACATTTATATGTAAATATGCTAGAATTACCCTGAAGGATACTTTTCCTCTTTAGTCCCTGGCCAGTTAAAAGAAAACACACTAGACAGCACTCATCAACCAATCAATAAATACAAAATAATATTAAAAAGGGATAATTAAGCACTTAGAAAGCTAAATATTTAGAACAAAGCCAAATATTTTGTTAGCAAACTGAATATGTAGTTATACAGTAATATTTTTGAATAGAATTTTTATTTCCAATCTAAATGTTTAGGTCCAATAAGGTATGGAGATAACGTCATGATAATCCTTCAGGAAACGCTCAAGGAATTGTTGAAAGTTAGAAAGTATACTTGTTTATCTGCTGCGTTATTCTCCCTCTTTGTCACATAAACTCATAATTTGCATGTACAGTGGGGCAAAAAGGTATTTAGTCAGCCACTGATTTTGAAAAAAAGATGAGAGGGAATTAAGTATTTGGTCACAAGAAAGAATTCTGGAACTCACAGCCCACTAACTTCATTTTTAGAAACCCAACCTTTCCTCTGTTCATTACCTGTATTCATTTGTATTATCTTACCTGTTTGAACTCGTTATCTGTATAAAAGACACCTGTGTATGGCAAACAGTCAGACTACAAACCCAACCATGGCCAATAAGCAAGTAGGTTTGTGGAAAGAAAAAACGAAAAACCATCTGGACTTTTCCTAATCATAAATCTTGGAGGACCAGCCAGGCTTCACACACTCATCAGGGGCCCAATACTGCCTCAGGTCAGGTGACAGAGCTTTGTACAAAGCTGCTCAAGCTGACCAGAAAAGAGGAATAGAGAGAGCCAAGGTGGACCACAGTGTGCATATTAATGTAAATATAAATCCCTTTATTGTCCCACAATGGGGAAATTAACTCTCTGAATTTGAAAAACCCCTTGTGTGCTGCCCGGGGAGCAGTATGGGGTTAAGGGTCTTGCTCAGGGACCCAGAGTGCAGGCCGTGGGTATCAAACCGGATACAACTTTCTCAGAGCACAAGTTCACTGCTCTGACCACTAGGCCAACACTCCCCATATAGATCTCACCTATTGAGCAACACACAGGAGGTCTGGCAGGACATACAAGATATCACAAACTTTAGACGGCGTGATGCATCACCAGGGGTCCTGAATGCACAAATGGCAGAGGAACTAAAGTGCTTCTTTGCTCACTGTGAACTGTTCTGTTCAGTATCAACAGCACTCTTCTGCATCAGTCCTGACCCCGCCCACACCTGGCTTCTCCACCACACCACTAATTATACAGGAGCATGATGTCAGAAGGATGCTATTGGCAGTGAATCCCAAGAAAGCTTCCAGTCCAGATGGGGTACCTGCCAATGTGCTAAAAGCATTTGCTTACCTGCTCCCACCCATTTTTATCTGGGAATTAAAATTTTCATTGCTGCTGGTAGTCATTCATCCTAGCCTGTTTAGATTCAACAAGAATAAACCCTCTGTGCTAACAACTACTATGAGTTAATACAGAGGAGCTTAAATGAGCACTCCTGGGATCTAATGTCTTTTTTGTTATTTTGTGCCATTTCGTCCCACAATGTGCTTTATTTTGTGTTAAGATGGGCTGATATTTATTTCATCATATATGTTTGACCCACCCCTTACCACAAAACATAACCATAAGTACATTAAATGATTATATCTGTTATATCAATTAAATATTAAGTGCAACTGAATGTCCATGTCCCCTTTTAATCTTTTTGAAATCACTTTATAACTATAATAAAAAAAATAATAATGTAATTATGCAGAAGTACTGTACAAAGCCAAAGTTAAATGTTTATTTTCAGTCGTATGACATTTTCTTTTCATAGATTCATAACCTTGTCACCTTTTTATCTTTCACACAACCACTGGAAACAGAACTATAGTTTAACTCAACTGCAGGTGACCGGGAGATCATGAATTTACCATTCTATGGTATCTACCATATATATCTAAGGATATATATGTGGAGTGCATGATTGTATGTTTAATTTCATTTTCTGCTCTTATGGCAGAGGTGGTAGATATGGAGTCGACAAGTCATTTCTAGTAGATTGGACTCACCTGGTTCAGCACACATACATAGCATGGAGATGACTCCCAGTCTATCACCTCTGTCTTATGGTGTGTTTAAAGTCTACAGAGCGGCTTTCAATAGACAACTGCATGTGTTGAGGGGACTGAAATGGCTGATAGGGAATGTAAGGCAAGTTTGGCCATAAAAGTAGCATCAAACACGTCTCCATTTGTAATTGTGGGTCCCATTTTGGATTTTTTACTTATTATTGCAAACTACTAGGTGCCAAAATTCCGCACTGTGCTAAATGGAGCCTTTCCTTAACTATTACACAGATGACCTGTGTTAGGCTGACATTTTTCACTACTGTTATGTTCCCATATACTATTACTATATACTATTTGACCCCCATAGAAAGTGTGATATAATATTTGCATAAGATCCATACTAAACATGTACATACTCTAAAGAAATTTTAATCTGCTGAACTAGGTTCATAGTGTATATATGTTAAATGACAGCAACCTACTAAGAAACGGGCAGTTTGTTCTGTCTGTATCAGAAACAGTGCTGTCTGCAGGTGTGTTAAGCTAAACTATTGCTCAATGCTCATCAATTTAATGTTTAACAAACCGCTATGACAAAAATATGCCTCCCTGTTTATAGGAACACCATCATTAAGGTCTAAAAACCAGGAAGCCATCACAAAGGGGGTTGGCTTGAGACCTGTTCCCCATAAATCTACATCGAGACCCATTGGGGGACAACTGGGAATCATGTTTGCATAATATTACTATTTATAAAGAAATTGGTAGCAGATTTATTCAGCTTAAAATAGTCCACAGATATATTAAAAAGTATATTTATCTTTTCTGCAAATCCGTCCATTTTAGATTCAACCACATAACATTCCGGACACACACTTTTCATCCTTTTCAAGAAGGTGGATAATAGTCACTCTCCCAACAGCGAAACGAATTATATTAAGACGTTGGGGGGAGAAAAAACAACTCCACCTTATAAGGAATGGTTAACAACAATCGCCAAACTAGCATTCTATGAGAAAGTCATTTATAGTCTTCTCGATCAATATGACTGCACATGTTCTGCCTTTACCAACTGGCTGACTGTACCTTAATGTATGTTAATAAGTGGATTGATGGTCGGTGTGGTGTTCTATGGATGCTGGTTTTGATGTCAGCTTAAAAAACAAGTAAATAAATAAAATGAGCATTATTAAAAAAAAAAAAAAACTGGCAGAAAGGGGATTGCTCTAACCCAGGGATTTAAAAAGTTATTTTATCAAATTCTCAACCACAGTGGAATCCTGATATTTCTCAGCATGGATCTGAACTAGTGCTCGTCATTTACCTGCAACTGTAATACCATCACAAAGGCATTAGATTTTGATCAAATTACATCTAACAGGAGTAAGACTGACTTTCACACTCCCGCCCTTTAGGTGGTGGTGATTGCACACAGATCCCTTGCATGATAGTAAAGTTAAAGTCCTACAACAACGGACTCTTTAAAGCTCATGAAAGCAGCTCAACTCTGAAATGAAACAGCTACATGCTTGTGGTTAGTGGTCAGGAATATCAAAACTCCAAAATCAACTTGGTAATTCATGAAAGCTCTATTTAGAACCAGAGAGGTTCCTGTCCTGATAGTATTTGGCTTCACTGTGTGTTTTTAGCAGCAGGAGATGGAGGCAGGAGGTTTGATGGTTTATTCTGCTCGTTGGGCTGTAACAGCTCTTCTTCCATCAGCAGCACAACATGTTGATCAGAACATGAACAGATCAGAAGCAGTGCAAACACAAACTGAAGTCTAGAACACAAAGTGCTGCAGTCAGATGACCAATCAGATCACAGATCAATACTGTAGTGTGCTTCCAGAACGGATGAGGTATTTTGCTGCTTCACACCCAAAACTGTCTGATATGCTTCTCTATCATCGTTTTATAAAAACTCTATAAAAATCAAACTTCTGATTGGTTGCTAATACAGGAAACAGCATGGACCCTGCCAGGATAAAACAGATTGAATGATTCTGTTCCAGCTAAAAATATAAATAAAGTCTGACACTAAGAACGGAATCAAAGTCAGATAAAAACAGGAAGTTTTGCAGTCGAGCCCTCGGCCATTTGAAATGATTAGGATTCTTCATCATGGACGCTCAAGTTTGTTCAAGTGTTTCAGCTCGAGCTGCTCGCCCCTTCCACAGGTAATCATTTGCATTGACTGGCATCAGGCAGCAGGAAGCTCCGCCTACCACCACATTAAATCAGTGCGACATCACAGCGGGTGAAGGGAGGGGCTGTCCCCTGTATTGAAGGTCAAGTCCAAGCTGAGGCGCAGCCTCCTAAGGTCACGTGATCACATGACGCTCTCTCCCTCAGCAGCGCCGCAGGTGGAGCTCAGCGTCGTAACATTGATGACCACGTCTTTCCGCCTCACTGACGCATCTTTGGACAGGTAGTCGTCGCTCTGATCCTTTGCGAAGTTCACAAACACCTGAAACCACAACCATTGTGAGAAAGACCCCAAATCCACTCTAATATCCTTTTCCATCTTTAAAGATGTTGTTAGTCCATCAAACTTTCCACTTAATTATTATTATTTTATTTATTTTTTTTATTTTTATTTTTTTTTCCTACTTGCTTTGATTCTGTTTTATTCTGTATTTTAATCATGTAAAGCACTTTGCATTGTCTTTGTACTGAATTGTGCTATAGAAATAAATTTGCCTTGCCTAGTCCATGTACTTGTCCAGTTAAATCTGATAACTAGCTCTCTGTGTGTTTTGGACCGTTTACCTGGTCTAATGTGGTTTGGGTGACGGAATAATCCTCGATCTTTAGCATGTCTTTGTTCTTGGCGAAGATGGAGAAGACGTGGGCTAGTGATGTGAGCGAAGATGGTAGCTGGTACTGCAGCATGTTGCGGTGTTTCTCCTTCAGCGTGCTGCCGCTCAGCTCGCTCTCGATGAACTTCATGACGGGCAGCAGGTCTGGGTCGGGCCCTGCCACCCGCAGGATGATGGTGTACCCATCACCAAACCTGACAAACAAACTGATGTTACTACCACACACTTTATAATCCACAGCAGCGATGCTTGGATTACTGACGGACTGATGCCCCCTAATGGTCAGAGAAAAAAAGCTCATGATGTCTAATGTTACGTTCACATAAAAAGCGATTTGAGCACCAAAGAAGGTCAGGCATGTACAGATGCATCTGATGCTTGTGTTGCTCGTGTTCAATGGCAGAGTGGCTTTGCTATATTTGCTGTGAAAAGTGGGTAAAAAGTAGTTTTTTTAAGCGAGAAAGTCCAACTTAGAACACCGTCTGTGCAGTCAGTTCAACAAGAAAACGATGCTGCCTTAAAATAATAAGAGCAGTCACTAGGGTTACCCAGCAGTAGCTCCCTCAGTCTGGTTCCTCCTGAGGATTTTCTGTAACTGTTCTTAGTGGCTGGAAGTAGATGTTAGCTTTTTGCAGGTATGTGGTACAAACTGCAAGTACCAGAATAATTATAGTGAACATATTTTACCAGCAAGTTTTCACATTTTAAGTTAATTTAGGCAATGGAGTGATCAAAGTGCTCATTTTTGTTTGTACATGAAAGAAAACTTCTCCTTGCCTTTTATTGTTAACCTAAAAGAATTGTACCCCGTTGATATAGATGCATATTTTTTGTTCAGTTCTGATAACTTTATGCTTACATCAGCAGTGCAGTTTCTGTTTCCCTGCCAGCTCCTAGATCAGCTTCTCTGATTCACTGATGTTCCATGAGTGATCAGTGATCATCAGTGATGTGCACATAAGATGCTTAAATGCTCATAAGATGCTGCTCCAGCTGCTTCAAAATGCTGCCAAAGATGTGCTGCAGGACCTTTTGATGTGCCCTAATGAGCGTCAACCATAGATATAAATATAAACTGGCTGCTTCTGCTGTTCAATTCACGTTTGGTGTAAACTCTGCATTGCAAAACATTGACCATCGATTTTTTTAAAAACAGAACAAACACTTTTGAAATTTTCACGGCTTTACCTGTTCTTCAAGTGTTGGACGCTGCCAAGACATCTGAACCTGCCATTCACCATGATGGCCATCCTGGTGCAAAGAGCCTCACACTCCTCCATACTGCAACACAAAGAGAAACACTCTTCAGGGACAGAGTCATGGTAATCTAATCTGCAGTGTCTTAGCCTTGGGACATCTGATTTGAAAGATTGCTGAGCTTCTCACCTGTGTGAGGTGAGGACGACGGAGCGTCCCTCCTTGATGACGCTGTGGATGCAGTTCCAGAGGGCCCGGCGGGCCTTGGGGTCCATTCCAGTGGTGGGCTCGTCCTGTAACGAGGAGCACAGCCAGGTTCAGGTTGGCCCACAGGTGAAGCAGGAAGCAGATGGTGAAAGTGAGGAGGAGTGGGAGGAGGGGCATCCTGCTCACACCTGACAGCCTCTCTTCCTCAGTAGTCCAGTAAACAACAGTAGCTGCCCTAAATCCTTCTGTTACAAAACCTCCCCCCAAATCCCACTCAGCTGCTCTCTGATTGGCTGGAAGCAGCCAGCTGCTCTTATGTAACAAACCACTGCACTGTATCCAACTTACTGTCCCATTTACTGTGCATAGCTTCAGTGTCTACAATGGACAAGGAGGGACAACATCCCCCCACGTTTACACTCATTCCAGGTATATTTGACCTGTCCAGGTGTCTTTGACCCGTCCTGGTGTCAGGCGGTCTAGAAGCTGCCGTTTCTGTTCACGTGACCAAGAACGCTTCTCACTTAGTTCACATCTGAATTTTGTTTGAATCTGGAGAATTTTTCAGATTTAGTTTTAAGAGAACAGATGCCCTCTAGTGGCTAGTGACAAACTGCTGATGTCATTTCAAACCTGACTGACATTAGATCATAGTTTTTGCCAAACAAAACTTTTCTAAAACTGAGTTTTTCACCAATTGGGGGAAACCAAAGCAAATCAAAATTTTATTTCTAGAACAAAAGTCAAAATTTGAAGGTACCAGGAGAACCTGATCTGTGCTTTTACTGTTCTGATCAAGTTGAGCTTCCTGAGTTGTTAAAATCTTGAACTTGTAAATTAGACCCTTATAAACCAAATTATTCAAGGAAATATTCCCTCTGATTTCCAACCTGATTTTAGGTGGAGTATAATATTCAAAATGTTAGGCTGAGATGGTTTAAGAAGTAATTTCCACTTCTAACTGAAACACATGTTCTGCCAAACAGTCTGTATCACAAAGCTGGAAATCAAAGCACTGTTTTCAAATAAAGATGCTGAGTCTCCTCCATGCAGATCAGTTCAGTGATAACCTGATGGTAGGGTAGCCATCTTTGTGACTGTGGCTGCCCTCGTTTAATGTAGATTACATATTCTAACCGACCAATAAGGAGAAGCTGCCCCATTAAAACCACCCCACCTCATTTGCATAATAAGACAGAGATCCAGACAGAAAAGGATGAAGGAAAAGCAAAAATAAATTATGTTGAAAAAATTTATATAATTGTAAATAAATGAAGTTGAACTAAGCAGATTTTTTTTCCATATATTTTAATCACTACATACATGTCTTTATTTTTTAATGACACCAGACATGGTTCTCCATATAGAAGACCTCTCCCATAAATATTCTTAGAGCTCATCTGCTTTGCTGTGCTTCTCTCCTAAATGAGCCCTAATAAAGCGCTAATGCTGCATCTAGCCTTTTACTTTCTTTTAAACTTCAAGAGTATTCCTGAATCAGTGCTTCTGTGGTTGGGTTGGGGTTTCTTTGATGTTCTCCCCTCCTGCCTTTAATCTGCTGGGCCTCCTTTGACCTTTTAACTGATTTGAAAAATAAACTGAACTGTATTTTTAAACCAGAATCCCCTTTTTTGCCCAGCTTGGTGCATTAAAAAGGACACTGACTTTGATTTCCATCGCTCTCATCAAATCAAAATTAAAAAAGTACAGCTGAATAGAAGCAAAAGAAACCCTGCTGATGGATTTGGGGGGGCGGATTACCAGGAAAACAACAGGAGGTGCTCCAATCAGAGAGATAGCGGTGGACAGCTTCCTCAGGTTTCCTCCACTGTAACTTCCAGCTCTTTTGTCTGCATACTTCAGGAGGCTGAGCTTCCTGATCCCCCACTCTGCCACCTGTCAATGAAACCACAGCCAATCAGAACCCAGCATCAACAGCAGCGGTGTTGGCATGTGTGATAAAGACTCACATTGCAGACTTCCCTCTCAGGGACGCCCCTGAGGACAGCATACAGCTCCAGATGTTCTCTTCCAGTCAGCAGCTCATTGATGGCGTCGAACTGAGGACAGTAGCCCATGTTCTGATGGACCTCATCGATCTCCCTGAGGATGCTGCAGAGAAAAGGCCTCAGGTCAGAGGGATGGGCTCCAACAACTGCAGTACACTTAAAACTGAGTAGATGAGTGAGAGAACATGTGTAGATGTGCATGTTTGATTCTGGTCCTGATCAGAAGATGGATTAAAAACTGATCAGATTTCAGACTCTGGTTTTATTTTTCCTACAAACACCTTACATTCATGTAAACCTTTAGGAAGTGGACCAAAATAACAGAACCAGAACCAGGTGATATCTCCCATGAGGTCGTACACTAATCCCTCACCTCTTCCCAGCCAGGAAGGCCTCTCCGCTCGTCACCATGGTGTCTCCTGTCAGCATCTTGAAGGTTGTCGTTTTCCCGGCTCCGTTCACACCGAGCAGCCCAAAACACTGACCAAGAACCCAAACATACGAGATGTCAGTCTGAAGCACCTTCATGTTCTTCACAGAGAGATTTCACCTGCACAGGTGTTAAAACAGCAGGAAGTCAGACTCACTTCTCCAGGAGGAATCCCGACACACAGTCGATCCACAGCTGGCTTCTGCTTCCTCTTATATACCTGAAGGACACAAACCAGGCCAGATGTTAAAACCTGTTCAGGGGCCTAATGCATATAAGAATGTACAACCTCTTCGCTTAAAATATGGGCTAGCAAGACATTTTAAGACAAACAGTGCAAAGAATATAAATTTATAAACTTGTGGAAATACATTACTACTAGCGCTGGAGCAAACATTTATTTTAGTAATCAATCATCTCAAGTAGAATCAGATGTATAAAACTGGCACATTCTGCAGATTCTACACATTATTTTATCCTAAGAGTACCGGTAATAGGAATACATGGCAAAAACCCCCAAAAACAATTAAGTTCACCTTTTATGTATTTATCTGCAGTTGAAAACTGTTCCAACATCTATATTTTTAAAGTGTAGCCCTTTCTGTTTAATTTATCAATACAGCGCTTCCTCTAGAATTAGTTTCCCTTACATACTGCTTCCTTGATAGGGATGGGGATCGTTAATATTTATTGATATCGATACCTTTATCGATACT